TCAAGAAATCTAAAATACAACCTTAATCCCTTATTTATTTTGTTGGTTTCAGTTTGCTCTCCTTAGTTTAAATCTCTTCAAGTATCTCAATTTTATCTTAGTAATTTTGGCTAACATCGTAAACTCCTGTCTAACACGATATCTCACAATTTGTTAAGCATCAGTTAATGAAGTAAATTGTCAAAGAGTAATACCACATGTACAACGTAACTTTAATATTTATCTCTTTCTATTATTAATAAATATTTCTTCTTATAATGAATGAAGAGATGCAGAGAGACAAATATAAAAGTAATATTATATAAAATGTTATGTATTTTTTATTTTTACATGTTGCATTATTCTTGTCAAAATAATTAATTTGGTCTAACCAATACTCTTTAAGATACCAGAAAAAACTTTTTATGCTTGAGGGACCAAACTCAAACTAATATCCAAGGAATGAGGGAACTTTGACACTTAGAAGTTAAAAAATAAAATTGAGCATACATTACCTGTGCCATAAACATTATTCTTGGAGGAATCTTCATGTAGTGACCAAGTTTGAAGTCTTGCAAGAAGGTTAGTGCTTGAACCATGCTAATGTAACCATACACCTTGAAGCACATGTTGGCAACAGGGCGCCCTGGATACATGTAGCCAATGAGGTATTCTGTTATGACGTTCAAACCCGGTTGCTGATAAAGCAAAAAGAGAATATCAGTTCCAAAATTTTCATCAGTATAAAATCAGCATGCTTTTTGAGTAAATTATTTATAGTACCTGATTTGTAGTGGCTGAAATTATACCAATAGGAAGAGTGAAGAAAACGGAAATTGCACATGCTAGTAGTATACCCCACCATGGCAACTGAAATGATGTCTTGTAGTACACAGAAGTAAACAAAATAAGAGCAATGTTCACCACTAAGATGATGAGAAACCACCACATGGGGACTGATTTGTATCTCTTCATAAGTCTTGTGTGTATGTCCATTTTCTTACTACCTCCAAAGGCCCTTTTGCTTTGCTTCCATATATCACTGCATGAGGCAATTTTAAGTGAAATTCAGTTTATGCTGAACTTATGGAACCAAAAAGAGATAATGGAATTAAGGTCTAATTATTTAAACTTATCTGAAAATACTTTTAGAAGAAAAAAAATGAAATAAATTAATTTTATCATAAGTTAAAATTAGATTATATATAAGAGAATTTTTTTCTTTAAAATATTACTTTAATCTCATGTATGAGTTATTTTTAGTTTACGTAAAAACTTATTTTGATTTTTTTTTTATTTTTCTCTCTTATAAGTGTTTATATATATAAAAAAAAAACTTATACAAATATATCATTAGACTACAAAT